CTCCTCACGGGCGGCTTCCTCGAGGACCTGGAGCGCCCTGCTGGCCTCCTCCAGCGCGCCGTCCCGCTCCGCGAGCTCCTCCCGGGCCTTCTGGAGCTGGGCCTCCGCGAGGTCGCGCGCCACCTGCTTCTGCTCCAGGTCCTGGCGGGCTGCGCGGAGCCGCTTCTCCGCCTTGCTGATGGCGTTGGCCTCCCTGTGCAGCAGCGTCGACCGCGGCGTGGTGGCGGCCTTCTGCTCCGCAGCTGCCTGCTGGGCCCTGGCCAGCTCTGCCCGCTTCGACTCCAGCTGGCTGGCCACGACGCTAGTGAAGCTGCCGTCCACGCCCTCGGGCGGCCCAGCCTGCGGCGCCTCCAGCTGCTCGACCGTCGCCTGCAGCCTCTCGATAGCCGTAGCTCCGCCGCCGCTCGGCGCCCCACTGGCCGCAGAAGCCGAGGTCTGCGACTTGGCGGATGCCGCTCGCGAGGCAGCGCTGCGGGCCTGCCGCTGGGCTCTGCGCCCCCTCGGCTGGTCCACCCATCCGTCCTTGTCGGCCTTGGGCTTCCCCGCGGCGGGGGCAGACCCCAGAGCCCAGGGCGGTGCTGCATGCCCACAGCTGAGGCAAGAGGATCGCCAGTCCCAGTTCCAACCTCCGCAGCTGCACATCCAGTACGGCCTGCTGCGCTTGCCACTGCTGCCGCCACGCGAGGAGCGCGCCATGGCCCCAGGCGCGCGGGCCGACAGGTCGCGCCTCCGCGCTGCGAAGGCCAGGAGCAGAACAACAGAGTGCACTGGCCCAAAGCGAGGAGCCCCTCGCGCTCGGAACGCCGCGGACGACTCGCGGTCGTCGGGTGCTCCATGGCCATGAGCCAAAGTGGCTACGGATGCTCCTGCGTGTTCTGCCGTGCTCCTGTGTGTTCTGCCGTGTTCTCGTGTGTTGTGTCTGTTTCGTCGCGTTCTTGCGTGTTCTGCCGCGCCCCTCTATGTTCAGCAAGATCAATTCCAAAAAGCTAATGAGCACGGTAGAAAAGAACCAGGAACACGAACCTCAATTGCACAGGACCACGGCAAAACAAGACAACGAGCACGGCAAAATAGACCCCAAGAGCGAAGGAGCACGGCAAATTAGGCTCCAGGAGCGAAGGAGCACGACAGAAAAAAAAACAGGAGCACGGCAGAACATACCCCAAGAGCTGAGGAGCACGGCAGAATAGGCGCCAGGAAAGAGGGAGCATTGCAAAACACGACCAGTGACCAGGAGCACGGCAGAATAGACCGCGAGAGCTAAGGAGCACGGCAAGATATATGCAATAATACAGCCTAATACGCCCCAAGGAAGAAGGAGTATGCAAGAAAACCACAAGGAGCACGGCATAATAAACCCCGAAAGCGAAGGAGCACGGCAGAATATGCCCCAAGAGCTAAGGAGCACGTCAGAAGACGACCATGAGCACGGCATCATAAGCCCCAAGAACAAAGGATTGTGACAGAAACTGGCCAGGAGCATGGCAGAATAGGCTAGAAGAGCGAAGGAGCACGGCACAAAAGAACAAGGAGCATTTCAGAATAGACCCCAAGAACGAAAAAACACGGCAGAATAGACGTCAAGAGCGAAGGGGCACTTTTTTCGCCGGCCATGCTCCGCCCTATTATTTTGAGTGAAACCGCCACTCCAAGATATCATTTTTGTTAGGATGTCTCTGGCGAGACGCTAGTTTTTGAACATGTGTCGAATTCGCGGCTTCCCATGTTTAAGGGATGTCTCAGGCGAAACGCTCATTTTTGATGGAATCGATGTTGTGAACATTTCATTTTTGTAAGGATGTCTCAGGCGAAATCGCCATTTTGGATCGTTTCGAGGGCGCTCCTGGGGGTAAAATTTGGGCTTGTTGGGGCCTTTGGGGGCCTTCTTGATGCCTTACAAAACCGTTGCAGTCCGATGTTACACACATTCATTTTTTGCAGGATGTCCCTAGCGCAATCGTCATTTTTAGATGACTGGCTTAAACCATCTAGAAGCCTTTTCAGGAGCGATCCCCAGACGATGTTAAAACAGCAGTTTTCAAAACGATGTTGTTCGATGTGTTATTCTTTCGAAAATGTCCCTAGCGAAATCACTATTTGCAGGAACCTTAAGGGCGCTCTTGGAGGCATGTTGTGGCCTTCTTTTGCTCCCTGATGCCCTCCTAAAATCATTACGATGCAATGTCGCACGCATCATTTTTTTGAGGATGTCCTTACCGAAATCTACATGTTTTAAAAGGCTGTCTTGGGCCGTCTGGAAGCCTTTTTTTATATTTAATTTTATTTGTATATATACATATATATATATAGATATAAAGCAAAGTCAAAACTATGTAAGTACAACAGTTTTCAAGTCCATGCTGGTGTATGTTTTCACTTTTTGAGGATGTCCCAAGCGAAATCGCTATTTTCGGAAGTCCCCCAATCGTTCTGACAGCCATCTAGACGTGCTTTTTGGCTTCTCATTTCGTCATCTTGAGGTACTTCGAGAACGATATCAAGACGACGTCGAGGACAGCTCATTTTGTTGAGGATGTCCCTCGCGAAATGCAAATTTTCTGCCGTGCTCTTCGTTCTGGTCCGCCGTGCTGCCGCGCGTGTTCTGAGGATGTCCCTAGCGAAATCGCAATTCTTAACATCAGAGTTCGTTAAAGACTTCAGTCGTCATCTTATTTTTTTCGAGGAAATCCCAAGCGAAACGCAAATTTTCACAGACGGCAGAATTTCGCTGTCATCAACATTTCGAGGATGTCTCGAGCGAAACGCTTGTTTTTGTTCAACGCGATGTCGCGAAGATGCCATTTTTGTCCATACCGTGCAGCGCGCCACCCCCTATAGTTAAGAGATCTCTTACTGATATGAGGACGATTCAGCCAAAACGTCCAGCTCGCTTCTCGTTCCTCGAAGACGCTTCCCGTCATCCGCTAAGCCTCCATACCGTGCATCGCGCCACCCCCTAGAGTTAAGAGATCTCTTACTGATATGCGGAGGATTCAGCCAAAACGTCCAGCTCGCTTCTCGTTCCTCGAAGACGCTTCCCGTCATCCCTCCGGGCCGGGACCGGCGTCCATCGCGCGACTCTTCGAGTCTAAGCGCACTTCCCGTCATCCGCCACCTCGCGATCCGAGGGCGATCCCGACACCACTCCCCCCCTGGACCCCCCCACTTGATAAATATTTTCCCCTCCGGGCCCGGAAACAACGTCCATCGCGCGACTCTTCGAGTCTAAGCGCGCTTTTTTTTGACAACGCAACCCCAACCTAAGAGGTCTCGCGAGCCCCCTCAAGGACTGCCGAAAGGGAGGCCTGCGCGCATGTGCGTGCACGGACGCAACACACGAGGCACCCACCCTCTGGTGGGCAGCTTCGCACGTCAGTCTGCGGCCCTGTGACCGAAGGACTGGTGACAAGCTAGAAAACGGCACCAAACGTGTTACACTCAAAACACAAAACTGCAGCTCAGAAACCCAAGCCTCAGAGTCAGGGGGCTCACGGCGGAAGCACACCTAACATGCGACGCAGTCTCATTTCTTCTTGCCATTTGGCTTTGCCTTTGCCCTGAACGCCAACTCCTTTACCTTTTTGGCGCTCTTGGAGCGGGGGGCGTGATCGTCGTCGATCACGATGCCTACCTTCTCCTGCCACTTCTTCGCCTGCTTCAGCGTGCGGATGGACTCGATCAGCATGCGATGACGATCTGCCGCCAGAATCCAACGGACTTTGCCCGCCTTCGCCTCGCCCTTGCACTCTATCATGAAGCAGCGGTTGGCCTGGAACGAGTTCTTCTGGGGAGCCTTGGCGCCTGCTGCGCCCACGGCCTCCGCGGCCCCCTGCGCTGCCGCCGCGTCGCCCTCGCCCATGTCCGTCCCCGCCAGGTCGGCGTTCTCCTTCAGCGCCACTTGCAGGTGGTAGAGTACCGCCCGTAGCATCGCGTCGGGCTTCTTGCCCTGAGGGTGGCCGAGGTAGTCCACGCCCTTCTCCTCCGCCTCGGCCTTTGCTGCCTTTCCCTCCGCATCGTACGACGCGATGGATCGGTCGAGGCTCATCTTCAGCTTGCACTTGCTCTCCATTTCCAGCACCACGTTGTTGTCCCTGGCGCTCGAGCGGTGGGTGTCCTCGTGCTGAAGAATCAGCTTGGCCATCTCCTTCAGCAGCAGTCGCTCGTTGCTGCTCAGGTTGGAGCTGGCGGCACTGCCCGTGCCTGCGTCCTCGCCCTCGGCCCTCGGCCTCTTGGACGCGGGGGGCGCAGGTGCGCCCTCGGACGCCTCCGCGAACATCAGTTGGCCGTGGGATGAGGTCTGGTGAGGGATCGGGCGGGCGCTGCACTGCAAGGGGCCCTTGAGCGTCAGTAGCAGCAGCACAGCAACGACCACGGACGTGTCTCTTTAACGTGTCAAGGCGTGTGAACTTCGCCCCACATTTACTACACGTGAGTGATGGGTTGGCAGACGGGACTTCTCCTGTTTGGTGTTCATGATGTTCACGCCCAAGATGTATATTTAGTGCACGGCTGTTCTGGAACGATAGCTGCTGACATATGTGACATACATGCTGATCAACATCATGACCGTCACCGCCACCTCCGACTTCCCCGCCTCCCCCCTCCTGTACTCCATGAGAATGTACATGATATGCTTTGCGTTTTTACCCAACCGTGGATCTGAAGCTTCGCACCATCGCTAGGCGCGTCTTTGGGATACTCATAGACCACTCGAGCAGTTCTGGGGAAAAGGGACGCAAGTAAGTCACTTTTACATGGCATGGCAGGCGGGGGGGGCATCGCACAGGTAAGACAAGTCAGTGAGCAGCTGGCGCTGGCGGTCAGTCGTACCACCAGTTTTTTTTGTAAAGGAAAGAGTACCTAGTAGGCACGTGCGCACTGCCACTGGAGCATCAGACGGTGGGTCCGTCGGCTCGTACACAGGGAGTAACAATCCACGCCACCAGAGCAATCGTCGATAACGAAGGTCAGATTGGATGGTACGAACTCTGAACTCCATCCTCACAAACTCGTTCGTGAGGTGGGTGAGGTGCGCTGGGGTCTTGGTCGCGCTGCGGAGCTTGGTCGACTGCCACCTCTCGAGCTTGGTAAGGGCTCCGTCGCTCAAGATGCACGCCTCCAGGCCATACAATGCAATAGTTCGGACCAGAGAGGGCCACAAACGCACACGCAGAGCTGCTGGTAAGAACCCTTTGCGAAAGACCTTAGGCGCCAATCGAGCGTGAGCAGTGTTGGCGTTGCTGATTCTTGCATCCACCGTAACGCCACTTCGACCCGTGGCTGACAGCTGTAGTCCTAGGTACTGAACTGAGTCGCGTGGGTGAAGTGGTTTGCCTCCGCACAGCACACCTGTGGTTCGAACTGCAATATCTTTGTCAAACCGTCTGGGCCCACGTCCAGTTGCCACTGCGATCACCTCCGTTTTCGACATGTTCATGTGGTAGTCCTTGGACTTCAACACAGAGGCAATGAACGCGATGAAGTCCGATACCTCCGTCCAGCACTCGAAGACCGCCAGCGCGATCAAATCATCAACGAAGCAAATGCAGGACACATCTATACAACTGGTGAGGTCCTGCATGTCAAGAGTAGCCATGATGGGTTCAATGGGGCACTCCTGCTTAGCTGCCTTCGGTGCCAAAACAACTGACTTCGGATCCTTGAACAAGTAGCAAGTACCGTTATGCAATTCAGCACACATCAAGGTAAAACCAGCTGACCCCACAAGACGCTGAACTTCGGACCAAGTCGCATCTCTGGAAAGAAGGCCAAAGGCTTTCTCAAGGTCTACCAAGATGCCCACACGGATCTTACACGACTTAGAGTTCTTGGCAGCCGCTCGAAAACGTTGGAAAATGTCGTCGATCATAGCAATGGCGTCACGGGTTGCACGCTTTGCCGCAGCTCCAAACTGAGTGGGCTCTATTTTCACGGAGGCCTCCCGAACAAACGGACTGACGATAAACTTCGAGATGCCTTTGCCCAAGTGGTCCAGGATGTTCAGCGTGCGGTAGTGGTCTCTCGCGTTCGTGCCGTCGCCTTTCGGTTTGCGTAGCTGGGCCGTTACACCATCTTTGAACTGGATGGGGACACTCACACATGTGCCGATACCTCTGACCAAGGCTTGCAGAGGTGCATGGACGACAGGTCCTGCCAACTTCCACAATTCAGCCACCGCGCCACGAGGTCGAGGGTGACCACCAACAATGTCATCAACAGGGGGGGCAGCTTTGTGGTTTGGCATGAGGCCAATGATCTTGGAGACTTCGTCGGTCGTACAGCTCGCAAGGTGGGCCAGTGGTACAGTTCCGTCTGCACACGTCGGTAGGGCACTAGGGGCTGGTCGGGTTGACAAAGGGATCTCCTGGCCTCGAAAGATGTCCAGGAGCGCCTGCTTCCTCGCAAGGACCTCGGACTCTGCATCCATACACGGTTTGCCGTCAACACCAGTAACTGTGACCGATGCTGCAGTCGGCTTGGGTGCAATACGGCCGATAATCTTGTAGCACTTCCTAGGGTCATTGAACTTCGCCGCGTCAGTAGCCTCATCAGAAAGATCCACCACTGCCTGACGTCGCTCCGCTCTGGCAGCACGCTTCGCAGCTTTGCAGAGTTGCCGCGCTTGTGCCTGAGCGTTGAGGATCACACCCATGGGAGCCTTCTGGTCGGTGAGCCACGTGGCCCAACGTACTGCGGATTGCTTCTCTTTTATTGCGAGCACGGTCTCTGAAGTAAAAGCAAAATAGGTGCGCTCAGTCTTGCCTTGCTCAAAGTCGGTAGCCGACACAACCACTGCACGCTCAAGCTGGTCGTAGAAATCCGTCGGAGAACAGGCTGCCAAAGTTGGATCAATATTTCGCAACACGTCGGTGAGTCTGTCCTGGTAACGCATCACGGTGCTGATCAGTGGTGTAATGGGTCCGCCACTGCCTCCAGCCTCCGCCTCAGCCTCGGACCACTTCTGCCAGACCTTTACAGCGTCAGCAAGCCGGGGGCGGTCCCAAGACTTCACATGTTGAGGCGGAGCACGCTTAGGAAAGTGTCTACCCACTCGGACGGATGCCTCTACGATCATATGGTCACGAGCTGGTCCCAAGGCAAGCGGGGTATCACGGATGACCTTAGCGAAGTCCTGAGCTCCAGTCCGCATGGTCGTCGCAATGTAGTCGATTCTAGTCTCTCCCTGGCCGTCAGGATTGCGCCAAGTTGTGCTACGACCACGGGCGCTGCCAAAAGTGTTGAGCGCGCGCAAGCTGTGCTGAGAAAGCACCTCATGCAGCCTTCTGCCATTATCTGTCCACTGCGGTCGATATTGTGCTCCGGAGCTGGCGTATCCCACCTCTGGGAGAGAAGGTGCCATGCTTCCGTTGCCGTCGAGCGCTAATATGACAGCACACCGCCCAGGTATAAAACTCAGTGCTTTGCTCACATTCTCAAACAACTCGTCCTTGGCTCTAATACAAGCTGCATGGGCGGCCGCAGTGATGGGTCTGGCTTGGGGCTTGTCTGCTGGGGCATATCCACAAAGAACATAGAAGTCGATACATTGGCCACGTGTAATTCTGAGACCAACCAAGCGTCCAAGCTGCCAACGATGGATGACTTTGATATCAGTTCGACGTGCAAACTTTTTGGATACTGCGATGGCCACACCGTCCTTGAGGTGGCGTGATGATCGGGGCGAGGGCGTAATGATGTAGTGTTCGTTCTCCCACTGTTGCTCGACGGAACGCATGGTGCCCTGTAGGGCGAGTACGTCCACCCGAGCAGCAGCAGCGTGTCGAAGAACTTCGTCCAGTCGGGCAGGCATCAGCATAGTCTCGACGTTGTATGACCATACCTTGATGAAGCCTCGCCGTGGTAGACAAGATTGGGCAGGAAGAAGGGTTGGAGCGAGTGCAACACCGTTGCGGGCCGCCATTCTGCATAGCTTCGCCACTGCATCCTGGCCCTCGTAGAGGTCGCTCTTGAACCACACTCGCCCTCTGGCGAGAATGGTGCGACAGGCTCGGTGGTAACTCCTCGTGCTGTGCACTAGCTCGGCTCTGTCGGTCATGGTCAGTAATTTCAAGAGACTCCAGGACGGTCGTCATCCGCCATCCGCCAGGTTCGAACAAAGGAGGTATACCGAGCCCTTCCCCTCCTGGACCTCCCCAGTTGAATTTCCCTCCGGGCCCGCGCCAACGTCCATCGCGCGACTCTTCGAGTCTAAGCGCGCTTCCCGTCATATTTCCCTCCGGGTCTGCACCAACGTCCATCGCGCGACTCTTCGAGTCTAAGCGCGCTTCCCGTCATCCGCCAGGCTCTGGACAACGAGGCGGCGTCGCGCGTTCCTCCCCCCAGACCCCCCCTCAGTTGATAAAAAGAACCCTCTGGGCAAACAGACGTCCATCGCGCGACTCTTCGAGTCTTGGCGCGCTTCCCGTCATCCCAGAGCCATCTCCGAAGGCTTCAACGAATCGCACAGGAATCCTGTAGAAATCTTACAAGGTTTCAACGACTCCTATAGAGCTAACCCTACTACTGTTACTACTACACCTACTAGTACTACCGCTACTACTCCTACTACTACCGCTACTACCACTACTTCTACTACTACTACTACTACTGCTGCTGCTGCTACTACTACGACTACTACGACTCATGCTAGTTATAATGAACTTTTGCGATTCGTCTTGTTATTCCTACTATTACGGTTATTCTTGCTACTATTACTACCTTTACTAGTACTACTACTACTACTACTACTATTACCGACACCTATTAGTACTACTACCACTACTACTATTACGACTACTACTACTACTACTACTACTACTACTACTACTACTACTACTACTATTACTACTGCTAACTACTACTACTACCACTACTACCAGTACTACTACTACTACTACTACCACTACTACTACTACTACTACTACTTCTACCATGACTACTACTACGGCTACGACTACGACTACTACGACAACTTCTGCGACGACTGCGACGACGACTACGACTACGACTACTACCACTAGTAACACAATACTGGTAGCATGTGTCGGTCGGAGGTACGACTACTACCACTACTACTACTACTTCTACTACTACGTCTACGGGTAGTAGTACTACTACCACTACTACGACTACTACAACTACTACTACGACCACTACTACGACTACAACTATGACTTACAACTACTGTTACTTCTATTTTCACCACCACTATTACGAAGACTACTACTACTCTAGCCCTACTACTCGTACTACTCGTACTCGTACTACTGTTACTACTACTACTACTACTACTACTACTACTACTCTTATCACCACCACCACTACTACTACTAGTACTACTACTAGTACTACTTCTACTACTACGACTGTTATTACTATTTCTACTACTACTTCTGCTGCTACTACTACTACTACTACTAGTACTGGTCTTACCACTCCTACTACTACTAGTACTGCTACCACCACTACTCTTGATTCGATTACTACTACCACGACTCATTTTCGTACTACTACCAGTACTATTTTTATTTCTGACTATTGGTACTACTACTACTACTACTACTACTACTACTACTACTATTACTACTACTACTATTGCTACTACTACCCACACTACCCACACTACTACTACTACCACTACTACTACTACTACTTCTACTACTACTCCCACCACTACTACTACTACTACTACTACTACTACTTCTACTACTACTCCCACCACTACTACTACTACTACTACTACTATTTCTACTGCTACTACTACGGCTACTACTACTACTACTACTACTACTACTACTTCTCCTACTACTACTAGGACTACTACTACTACTAGTACTACTACTACCACTACCACTACCACTACTACTACTACTACCACTACTACTACTACTACTACTACTACTACTACTACTACTACTACTACTACTACTACTACTACTACTATACTACTATACTACTACTACTACTACTACTATTACTACTACTTCTACTACTACTACCACTACTACTACTACTACTACTACTACTACTACTACTACTAGGGAGCTCAAGCACCGTTACCTCGTGATCGTGCCCTTCAGTGACGACCGTTTCGCCGGTGTCTGTACGACCTCGGTGTCCTCTGCCTTAAAATGATTTTGGTTTTTTAACGACGTCGGTTCCTCGTAGTGTTTTGATCGAATTACTGCACCTACAGCCCTGAGAGTTGCACCATGACAGGCGCCATGATCGACTGCAGGGAATAAAAATCTGGGTTCCCAAAACGAATGTTCAAATTCTTCACAATCTTCCAAAAACCGACCCAAAGTTCCAACATTGTCCGCCCGGGCCGGGTGGGCGAACTGGGAGCCGGCGGTAAACCGTCAACCAGGTTACCGCCGGGTCCCTCGTAGAGCTCCAAACTGGGAGCCGGCGGTAAACCGTCAGCCTTGGTTACCGCCGGGAACTCGTAGAGCTTCCTCGATATGCATGAGTGGAGTGCGGGCGCGGCAATCTCGCATTCCGCGCGCGCGAGGGTGCGGTTTCATGGGGGAGGGCTAAGAGGAGAAGAAGGAATGAGGAGGAGAAGGAGATGGAGGAGGCTGAGGAAGAAGGAGGAGGAGGGGAAGGAGCAGGCGGAGGAGAAGGAGGGAGGGTACGAGTAGTTGTTTGGTTCCAACACTGGAAGCAGACCGAGTTTTGGCATCTAGATACTTCAGACTAACACTCCTGATTATATTCTTACGATTGCTGTGCCCAACAGCTCTGTAGCTCATCTGCAGCTCGAGTTATCTCAAGAAAGGCATCATCATGTCTGAAAACATAGCAGAGTACGAACAGTTTTTCGGATCCAGCTCTGGCAGCAGACCGAGTTCAGGCATCTAGATACTTGAGACTAGCGTTCCTGATTATGTCCTTTCGATTGCCGTGCCGAACAGCTCTGTAGCTCATCTGCAGCTCGAGTTACATCAAGAAACTCATTGTCACTTCTAAACAAATAATAGAACACCAATAGTTTGTCAGACCCAGCTCTGGTAACAGACCGAGTTCGGGCATCTAGA